AAAAGAAATTGCTTTAAGATATTTCTTTCTCGGCTCCCAGGGCTCAAAGGCAAGAATGCTAGGACACGTGTCTAATATTTTTCGACCTACTACCACCAGAAAAAGTTTCATTACAACGAAAAAATGTTTGTGGAGTTATCAATAGTATCAACTTGTGTTCATTTATATAAACACATTCTTTATCCTCTTTCTTTGTCAAAGGGAGTGTCCTTTCTTTTAAAAATAGTTTGCTTGACTGCAGGGCTATAAATTTCTTTTGAGGCCGAGGTTTTCATTTTCAGTACAATATAATAGATTGATACGTCTACATTTAATTTATTATTATTTGTATATATTTATTTATTAATTTTCATAACTATATACATAATGATAAAGCATTGTTTTTATGTTTTGTTTTTTCTAGGTCGTGAGAATCGAAGACCCGACAAATATAGCCGGCTGGTTATTTTCATTAAGGGCGCACAACAAAATAAAACTACCCGAGCATGCGCATTACCAGATGTTTATTTTCCTCTAGAATATTTATCTAAATTTATATTTAAAAAATAAAAAGACCCACCCTAGTTCAACTGACAGATTTATAAATGGAGTTTGAAACAATATCCAGGATGGGGCAGGTCCATTTTCCCTAAATGTCGTGGACTTTTTCTCCTCTAGAACGACAATCATTTAAAAATATCTTCAAGCCGAGAATTTGGCACCATTGCTGTACTCTAAACAAAGGCATCTCGAGTTTGACACAATTCCCATCGAAACTATTTTAATTACAGTTTCAACAGATATCTCTCTCTCTCTCTCTCTTACTCTCTCTCTCTTTCGATCTATCTACCGATCTCTCACGCCATCTCCATCTTTCTGTCTCTTTCTCTACATCTCTCTCTCGCTCTTTCTTTCTTTTTCCTCTCTCTCTCATTCTCTCTTTCTCACTCTCTCCCCATCTCTCTTTTCATCCCTCTTTCTTTTTTCCTCTCTCTCTCTCACTCATTTTCCCTCTCTCACTCTCTCACCATCTCTCTTCTTCTCCCTCTTTGTTTCTTTTTTCCTCTCTCTCTCTCATTATCTCTCTTTCTTTTTCCTCTCTCTCTCACTCATTCTTTCACATTCTCTCACTCATTTTCTCTTTCTCACTCTCTCTCCATCTCTCTTCTTCTCCCTCTTTCTTTCTTTTTTCCTCTCTCTCTCATTATCTCTCTTTCTTTTTCCTCTCTCTCTCACTCATTATCTCTCTTTCTTTTTCCTCTCTCTCTCACTCATTCTCTCCCCCTCTCTTACCCATTTTCTCTTTCTGACTCTCTCTCCATCTCTCTTTTTATCCCTCTTTCTTTCTTTTTTCCTCTCTCTCTCTCTCATTATCTCTCTTTCTTTTTCCTCTCTCTCTCTCTCACTCATTCTCTTCCCCTCTCTCACTCATTTTCACTCTCTCATTCTCTCTCCATCTCTCTTTTTATCCCTCTTTCTCTCTTTTTCCTTTCTCTCTCTCACTCATTCTCTTCCCTCTCTCACTCATTTTCTCTCTCTCCATCTCTCTTTTTCTCCCTATTTCTTTATTTTTTCCTCTCTCTCTATTCCTCTCTCTTTCTTTCATTTTTCCTCTCTCCCTATCTCTTTTAAACATTTTCTCTCTCTTTCACTATGACTCTCTAGGAAAAAGGAAATACTGTAAAAAAACCTCTTTTTTTTATAAAAACTTCTGAAGCGTTTAATAAATTATCAAAAGAAATTAAACAACTGAAAAAAATTAATACATTCAAAGTAAACCTCAAAAATAATTACACTCTCTCTCACATCTCATTCTCTTTCAGTCACTCTCTCTCTCTCTCTCTCTCTCTCTCTCTCTCTCTCTCTTTCTTTCTTTTTCCTTTCTTACTCATTCTCTCTTTCTCTCTCTGTTACCAAATTTTGTATATTTTTTAGAGTAAACTAAATTTATGACCCTTTTTCCCTGAGGTTGATATTTTTTCCATAATACTCACCATTTGGGACAACAATTTCATGTACACAGATTTCAAAGAACGTGGCATGGAAACAAAATGTTTAAATATCAAAAGGAAAATGCACCACCAAAATGTCAAGAGTAAGAAGAATTAGGACCTAACACTAAGAGTGGTTAGGTCTTCCGACTCGTACTTGCCACGCAGGCATTTTTGGGTTCGAATCCCCCTGGCATAGCCTTTGAAATTTCATTGTAGAATTATTTCACAGAAGTGCATATTTTTTTACAAAGCAAAAAGTTCAAAAGAAAAGAACACAGAGGACGATGATACCAAATATCACGAGGACAATTTAAAAATAGACCTTGTAAAACTTGCAGGGCTTCGTCTTGGGTCCGCCTATACTCGCTGTTTATTGTCAGGCGTATTCCAACTGCTTTCAATAGTTCAAAAAACTTTTGTCTCAAGCTACTAGAATGATGATCCTCAAATATCGGATCAGCCTAAGATGCCTGTTTAAAAACTTAAGAAACTATTTTTATTTGTTTTTATTATTTATTTTATTATTGTAATTAAATCAAAATGGCGAACCCCGTGGGTTGTGGCTTTTATGAACATTGGCACGTTAGTGTGCTTCTCGCGAACCGAGGTGGGCCTGAATTAAAAACGGGTGTCCCTTTTACGGGGCTGGTGAAACACGAGAAGACGCTACGGACCAATTCTAAATTTGTTCCTCGAACTAACTCGCCCCCAGTGTGTCAACGACCGATGGCCCTTTGCCAACCAAGAGCCGGCTCAATGTTGCCGCTCTCTAGCCGATTATTTCTTACAGAGTTCCCACACTTCCGGAAACCATTTCCGCCCGACCTGGGCGACGAGACGCAGTACCACACAGACACACCTATGGCACAGCAGTCAACACCTTGGGACTTTAGGAGAGAGAGGGGCTCCCTCCTCTGCAGAACCCCCACCATGAAAAACCCGCTGAAAATGGAGTAACTACTACACTCCACACTGTTATTTCATTAATATAATTTTTAAAAAAACGTACCAAAAACAGTATGGTGAGGAATGAAGATACCAGGAAGGGGTTTGGTGTTCCCTAAACAGCCTTGTGACTTGTACTTTTCTAGGAAGATTCTACAGCAACAATCATCTCTCCCAAATAGATCCTCTTGATTACCTTGTCAAAACCAGACAAGAATTCCTATGAAGTGGTACCATCCTCACTTTTCCTTAAACCTGGGGTCATTCCAAATAACAAACAGCTTATCCCTAGTCAAAGCCTCTAAATGCCATCTTGTATTAAGAGCTCAGAGGTTGGATAAGTTTATAGAACAGTAGTTTTTTCAACTCTGCTTAGAGTTATACATATGGAAGTTGGAAATGTCAATGAACTCCACGGTCTTATGTTCCCTAAACAGCCTTGTAACTTGTACTTTTCTAGGATGTTCCTACAGCCACCTGAAACAGTCATATCTCAAAACTGGACTAGGTCTCCAGGAAATGTGATTTGATCCACACATTTCCTTGATCCTGAGAATAAAATCCCAAGGTACTTATCCCAACTTAAAGCCAGCTTGCATTAGTGGCTCAGGGGTTGGATTTGTGTATAGAACAGTCGTTTTTTCAACTCTGGTTAAAGTTTATATATATAGCACATTTATATTTGTTTAAACTAATTTTGAAATTTGCCGCGCACTACCTCGACTCGATTGTTAAGAGGGAGGTTAACCTGTAGAGTAGATAACAAGTTAGGAGTGCATTGTTGAAGTGTTGAAAATCTAATATATAGCTTTAATTGTCGTTTCTTTTGGTTGTTATTGGGTTGTCCGGAAAATAATGCAGGATTTTAAGTTTTCATTAAAAAAAATCTATATAAAATATTCTGTTTACGTTTACAGGATTACTCATTTGTATGAATGTCAACACTTATTAATCCTCTTCCAAATGATATTGTTTGTTTACCTCTGTAGCATTCCGCTACTTGGAAATAATTCAGTCATCCTTATAATGTCAAAGCGAGAATTTCGTACGATTTTCTTTTACGAGTTTAAACTCGGCCGAAGCGGAGCCCAAACGGCTAGAAACATTAACCAAGTCTGGGGCGAGGGTTGTGTTAATGAGTGCACTGTGCAAAGGTGGTTTAAAAAATTTCGGGAGGGAGATTTCAGCCTTGAAGATGAAGAAGGTCGTGGAAGGCCTTCCTCTCTTAATGATGATGTTCTGCGATCAGTGGTGGAAGAAAACCCCAAAACAACTGTTCGAGAACTTGCAGAGCAACTCAAAGTCAGTAAAACGACCGTCGCTGACCACCTCAAGGCGATTGGAAAAGTGAAAAAACTCGAAAATTGGGTTCCACACTCATTAAACGATCGCCAAAAAAATCAGCGCTTTGATGTTTGTGCATCACTTCTTTGTCGAAACAAAAATGACCCATTTCTGGCCAGAATTGTTACATGTGACGAAAAGTGGATTCTCTACGATAACACTAGACGTTCTGGACAGTGGCTCGACAAAGGAGAAGCTCCAATACATTTTCCAAAGCCCCCAACTCATCAAAAAAAGGTAATGGTTACGGTATGGTGGGCTTCATTTGGTTTAATACACTACAGCTTCTTAAATCCTGGCGAAACCATCAATGCTGAATCATACTGTAACCAAATTAATACCATGCATCAGAAATTGGCAGTAATGAAGCCCTCTTTGGTCAATCGGAAAGGGCCCATTTTGTTGCATGACAACGCTCGACCACATGTGTCACGTGTAACGTCACAAAAATTATTGGAGCTTGGCTATGAAACTTTGCCTCACCCACCCAACTCTCCGGACCTCTCGCCTACTGACTACCATTTTTTTAGACACCTGGACCACTACTTACAACACATAATATTCAAAAATCAAACGGAACTGGAAAATGCATTTATTGACTTTATCAATTCTAAAAATTCTGAATTCTACTCAGACGGAATTAATAAGTTACCAACACGTTGGGAGAAATGTATTGAGAGTATGGGAAATTATTTTGATTAAAGAACATTGCTTTAAAGTAACTAGTTTCTTAAAATCCTGCATTATTTTCCGGACAACCCAATATAATTTAATTAATACACTTACTTAAATAAAATGGTTATAGTTTGTCTAGTCCCTCTAACAAATTATAATCTTCTCAGTAGGTTTTCACCAGTGTCTTCTAGATCAAAATGCCATCTAGATTTCACGACTCATTCTAGCCGCAACACCATGGAAGGAGGTTGCAATGGAAATGACGAAGTATTTGTCTCACAAATACTCTGATAGGTTTCGATCTGATATTAATACATTAGTTAATACAGTGAATTAATACAATTATTATTGCTTTATAGACCCCCACTAACTAACCAATTATAATATTCCTAGTTTTTTTTGCCAGCACCTTCAAGATCGACATGCCAACTAGATCACAATTCATTCGAGCCACTTTGCCATGGAAAGAGTTACAATGGTGATGAAGAATGTACCGCTGATACATTTCAATCTGATATCAAACACATTAGTTACTACAGTGAACTGATACAATTATGCCAACATAATCCACCTGTGGCTGATGGCCACACTGCATTGGTCTTTTCCCACCATCATGAAAAGTAAAAGAAGACTTGTGTTTACCAGTGAAATCAGCTAATCTATATTTTATGTACATACCAATAATTAGTGAAAATTTAATATAGTTATTGTGTCTGTTTTGAGTTAATTCATCAATACACACACCTTTAATGTCAATACTAAAAGAACAAATAAAAAAACTTCAATATTTATTTAAATCTTGTTCATTTCAGTGTGTAGGACTCAAAAGACCTGTTGATTCGACCTGAAGATCTAAGAATGTTAAGACATTCTACGCCTAAAAGAAAAACTACTAATATAATTTACTTTAACTAAGGTTTATTTTAATATTTACATTTATTGCAGACATGAAGATATAAATATACATTGAATATATCACAATTATCAAATACAACTGCCAACACTGAGGCAGAAAGATTCGGATTTACCATGTTCGATTGAACTCGAGGTCGGTTTATCAGATATTGTATTGTTCTGGTGTTGTCTCTGCAACCTATGGTAACTATAAGGGTAGTTTGTCTCTTGTGGGTAGTCATTATTTTGCTGACTGTATTGGTAACTGCCACCGTAAATAGCGAGCATTTCACTGTAGCCTTTGTTTGAATCGGTTTTCCTATAGTCAGCCCCGTATGTTGCCATGTTGAACAACGCTTCAGGGTCGCAGACAAATTTATATACATAGCGTTCTCCTAAAAAAAAAAAAAAAGCCTTATAGTGAGGTGTATTATTAAACAAATGTTTGAAAAAATTACCTGCAACCTTTTGCATGATCCCTTTTTCATAATAGTACCGAAGTGATCTGCTCAATTTATCATAGTTCATTGCGGGCCTGTTTTTCTGGACTCCCCATCTTCTTGCAACCTGAATTTATAGTGTATTATATTAATAAATAATAATAAAATAGAAAGAAAAATATTATTCAAAAATATTAAACATGATTTTTTCTATGAACACTAATTCAGGCCAGTGTATCAAGACTCAGAACCTGTAGTTATTCCCTCAAAAAATTCAAAGTGCAGGAACTATATTTCATAAACCAGTTCAGGTTCTTGCTTATACTGATTGTTTATTGCAGATCCAAAACTGAAGTTGGACCTCCTTTTGGAGGTAGCAGAAAGAAGAACTTGGGCTAGCTGTGAACCCCTCAAAAACTAAATATATGGTCTAGTTACCTAAAGGTTAAAAAGAGTTGGCTTCTTTATGGCATTATCACCTTGACCAGTTCTCATTAATCATAACACTTTTTAGTAGGTTGATGAGGGGTTTCCTCACTGAAGATGGCACAATGCCGAAATGCGTTTGAATAACTCAAAAACCCGCACGTGGAGACAGACCCTGTGCCGGTTCAACATGAGTTTTTACCAGGTACCAAAGCTTTGTTAAGGTCTGTGAATATCCTTTAAGACTTGGGTTTTCCTCTCCCAGTAGGAATCTCAGCTTGAATAATCTTTCACAGCAATAAAAAAACATGTTTGGTTGTTTCTACTTCCTGATAATATTTGTACAGGATAGTTTCTGCTGCTCTGAGTATGTATGCTTCTTGAGCAGTATCCAGTCATCACTCATTCCTAACAAGCCCTAGGTTTAATATTTCTATCATTAGTTTCTGTAATGATCCTTTAATGAAGTATTTTGCATTCCCCAGACAAAGCTCCATTGAACTGAGGACTACTTCTTAACACATTGTCTAATGGATCTACATTTTTTGGCATTTGGTATGCCACAAAAGGTAAGAGTCCTGACTGAACTTTCCTAAGCCAATTTATCAGCCATGTTGCCCCTCTGCTCTGTATGCCTTGGTACCCAAAAAAGGTTAATTTTGTTGTTTTATCCCAAACAGCCCTGGTCTTTACTACCGATGAGTCTAAGAACAGGCTGACAAGGTTCTGGGAATGCCTGTCAGTGTCATAATTCTAAAATTATGATTTGACAAAAAATTTCGGATCATAATTCCAAAATTATGGTTTGATGAGAAATTTCATATTAAAACACTTGATAGAACACACTGAGATAAAGAGTACCAGTTATGCCAGCTATATTTGGTATACTGCTCTAAGACCAAGTACAATCAGGAGCTGCTATCAATGGAACTACACTAAGGACTATACTTGGGCAATGTGCTATTGTCTTTTGGGTGGAGGCTGTGGCTGCAGAACACTGTGCCAGTGAGATCAAAAGGTCTATCCAACAAAAAATTAGCCAAATTGGACAGCCAGGCACTAAAGGCAATTGCAATGTCAATAGTAAAGTCCAGAACAGTTTGGGATTGCATCATAACCCTGTCAAACACTGAGAATAACAAAAAAAACCACCCTTGTTTTGGTATCAGGTGGGCCTATCAGTCCTGAAGCCTTGTGTAAATTCATTAAAAGACCACAGAAACTCCAATGAATATAGATCTGTTTGGGGCATGCTTTTTTTCACTTTTCTCAGTGTTTCTACGCATTCTTCTCTTGGTGTGAGAATTACGCTACCAAAGTGGCTATATTGACAGGTTATGTCGACGTATCTGGCCCTCTGTCTTGATAGAGCTGTGGTTTCTTTCTTGGCTTTGCCCATCTTCTTTCCACCTGATAAGAATGACAAAGTTGAGGTTTTATAAACTGTTAATACTTGCCTAAGGGTCCGAGGCTTGGACAATTTTTGAAATAAATAAGAGGAACATGTTCGTCATGACATCACATCAACTTTGGGGTTAGATTCAAAAATTTTTATGCTTTACCTGGGCGTGTGTAGGAGTAGGACTAGGTTATGCTAGTAGAGTTAGGGCCTTTTCTTGACGCTATTTATTTCTTTAAAATGTCAGTACTTCATATTTCACTGTTCAACAGACAAACCTTTCTAGAACTCACCAAACAGAAATAATTTGTTTTGTGAAATTTTTCCCTGTTATTTGCAGAGTGATGAACATATTTTGGTTATTAGTGATCATTTTGGTCTGCCTAGTAGGTTATGGTCTTCTGCCAAGCTTGTTGATTTCTTGCAGTGGGACTGTTTCATAGACTTCAAGGGGGCACCCTTCTCACTGTCTATGTCAAGTTTTTGTAAAGCAATATCTGAGTGACCATGCGCCCTTTTTCTGGTGGTGGGCACGTGTAAATATAAAAATTCCGGCTAAGGAATGTTACTTCTACTAGTGAAAACACTGGATGGCAAGATTCTGTTGGGGCAAGTTGATGCGAATTTCTGCTCTGGTCAGATGGATTGCTTGCTTATGAGGGTAGTGGGCTGTTAGGGACCGACAACCCATATGGTCTGTATTGACATCATAACAAGTACTGGAAGTCACAGCAACAACCTTTGTTTTTATTTTTCTGTACAAATCTTTTGAATTTGTTTATCAATTAAGTCAATTACCTCTTCTGGTTCGACTAGTTTAAATTCAAGTCCTCGGCCAGTCCATACAATGCAGGATGAATTCGTTGGATCGTCAAGTAGTGAAACTAAAAACTGCCACAGCTGAAGAGCACCTCTTCGTTGAGGCACGGGGCTCATAATCACATCTTTTCTTGTCACACCTAAAAATAAATATGAGTTTATTCCAAGTCCAGTTTGTATTGTCAGAATCAGTTTGATAAAAAGACAATAAAATAAAAAGGAGTTCATGGAATAAAATGTAAAAATAAATTGGGAAATATTGTATCAGTATAGATATGCATTATTTACATTATTATAATACATTGCAATGCTCATACCATCGTGCTGATGCTTGTCTCTGCACGAGAAAAGGCTTGTGTAAGAACAGCTCCCTGAAATAAAGCACTAATGTTAGTTAACAACTGAATAATAATCGTAAACGTTTCTCCAGACAATTTATAATGTTCTATTAAAACACTTAATAGAACACACTGAGATAAAGAGTACCAGTTATGTCGACTATATTTGGTATACTGCTCTAAGACCAAGTACAATCAGGAGCTGATATCAATGGAACTACACTAAAGACTATACTTGGGCAATGTGCTATTGTCTTTCTGGTGGAGGCTGTGGTATAGAACACTGTGCCAGTGAGATGGCAACTTTCTTTTTTTTCTCTACCTCAGGGCCTTATCAATTGTGAATAAAATAACTAACATATGGATGAAAAATAATAATTAAAACAAAATAGTCTAGTTACCATTCACCCAACTCCAGAATATTCAAAATTATTGGTAAGGTAGTATTGGTAAGGTTTGATAGCATTAAGTTGAGTTAGGTTATTTAGGTAGGGGTTAGAGCTAGTATTAAGGTTAGCTAGGCTAGGTTAATTTAAGTAGGGTTGGAGACATGATAGATTAAGGAGGACTTAGATTATGTAGAGTTAAATTATATAGCAATAGATTGGGTTAAGTTAGGTAGGGTTAGGTTTAGCGTTATAGTAAAGTTACGAACGAATTTGATTATGTAGGATTAAGTTACGTAGCATTAGATTACGTTACGTTTGGTATGGTTAGGGACGGGATACATTACGTTAGTTAGGGCTAGGGTTAGTATTATGGTTAGGTTTGGTAGGTTTAAGTAGTGTTAGGCTAATAAGATAGGAGTTAGGGCTACTGTAGGGATGGACTAGAGTAAGTTAACTTAGGTATAATTAGATTATAATATAGGTAGAGTTAGGGTTATTATTATTATTATGGTTATGTTTGGTAGGATTAAATTGAGTTAGGTTAAAAGCATAGGGGTTAGTGCTAGTATTAGCATTAGGCTAGGCTAGGTTAGAGTCGGGATATATTAGGTTAGGTAAGTGTTAGGGTTAGTATTGTGGTGAGGTTTGGTAAGATTAAGTTTAGGTAGGGGTTAGGAATAGTATTCGGGTTAGGCTAAGTTATGTAGATAGGAATGGGATAGATTAGATTATGTACGGTTAGAGACTGGTTATCGTAGGAAAAGCTTGGTTAAGCTAGGTAGAGTTAGGGCTGTTAATATTAGGGTTAGGAATGGTTTGGCTAGGTTAAATTACGTAATGTTGGGGATAGGTTAGGTTATGTAGGGTTAGGGAAGGGTTACATTACATATCCATGATTGAATTAATATTTATCCATGAAGTGGAGAAAATATGCAACACACACACACACATCAGTAAAACTATTGCTAAAGTGAATAAAACTTTAGGATTTATTACACATCATACTAAACATTTCCATGATGCAGATAAGCTTAAAATTGTATACACTTCAACTGTACGACCAATATTAGATTATTGTTCATCTTTCAATCCACCAGTATCAGTCACATAGAAGAGGTTCAGAAAAGAATTTTAGGCTTGGTACATTACAGAAAAATTGAGAGTAAAGAGTTGCACTATAGTGCACCGTAGGTAATGTTGGATCTGAAATTGACAACTGTTCTTTATAGAAGGAAATCCTTGGATTGAATATTATATAAATTAATCAATATATGTATTTAGTAGTCATAATTGAAGGTGTTAATTATTTTAATTGATTATACTTTTTGTTTAAGGTTTTGGTTGAGATGTAAAAGTTAGTGCCACAAGCGGGATTCAAACCCACGACCTTTGGCTAGTCGAAGGAATTACATTCCTCAGCTGATTGCTCATTACTGCTTTATCCAAATTAACTTTCTTGTTTTATCATTATGGAAGTCAACAGGAGAACATTTTTTCCATTTAATTTTAAATATATATTTTTTTTAGTTTTAAATTTCTCGAACCAATCTAGTTCCTTCCCTTTGTTGAAACTGTAACACTGTTGTATTTAAATTGAAATTGTAATAATACAACAATACAATGATGTGTGGAATGTAATGTGGTGATATAGGTATGTTATCTATATTGAATTTGATTAATGATATTGCCGTAGCTGCGACTGAGTTTACATGTATCTGTTCTGTAATTGATGCTGTGTTTATTATTTTGCATTGTATAAATTCACTTTTCCACGTCAAAAATGTAATTGTTATATGTAAACAATGTTTGTAAATCCCAGGCCCTGAAGATGATCTCAATAAAGATCGAAACGTTGGCACGATAAAGAAAATGTTTTTCTGAAACCTACATCACACCAGACCGCATCTCACGATTTCTAAATAAACATAGATTTGTTTGTTTGTACGTTCTTTATTCTTTGTATGTGGTCCGTTTAATGTACGTTTTTGTTTTTAAGTGTATGCGTTTTATTGATTATTTTGTTGACCGGGTTTTTTGTTCTATCGGTTATTGTGTGCAATCGCTTTTATTGTTTTTAGTTTATGTTTGTATTTCTCTCTTGTCATTGGTTCAGTTTTGACTCGTAACAGACTATTTGTTATGAATTTTAGTGGTGCCATTTTGTATAGATTGAGGGTGGTTTTGCTGTCGATCGCTATTTTCTTTAGAATTATGGAAGCGGTTGCCAGTTTTAGTGATCATTAGATTAAAGAAATTTAGATAATTTATTGATTTTAGACGTTTGTGTTAACGCACGCTGAATAGTAACGATTATGATTTTAAATACATCCATTCGAATATTTTTTCTATTATAATTTAATCTAAAAACTGGATTGTTATATATTTTCCTTCTGAATCGTTGACGTATTGATATAATTCATGAGTTAAGACGGAATAAACGGGCAGAGATTCAAGACGGATTTAATAAAGCACGAGAGAGAGTAAAGTTGATGTTGTTAGAAAGGTATACAAACATTATAAATAAACGAGAGTGGGATGAAACGAGAGGGTAGCAAGGGCGAGAGACGGGGTGGGTTTAGTTGAATTTTTCTCCTCTGGGATCGCTGAAACAAAGCATTCTGACCTCTCCTAGTTAAAAGCTTTGGATAAATTATTTACACACCCTCGACCCTCGCTCAATTAGGATTACTACTATGCACCGCCCTTAATTAAAAATACAATAACCCCCTCTTTAACAGGGTTAATATAATATAGCGCAACCTTCGACCCTATGCTTCAACATTAATATTAATTGAAATAAGGAAAACCCGGGCATAATTTGTCCTTATTAATTCCTGGCGTTTCATTAATCGTTCGACAATTATTGCCTGCCACGAAGGCCCTTTGCGCGTTGCCTTCGAAAATTTAATCGCGGGGACGAAGAAAAATTTCTATAAGGGACATTCGCCTTCTTAAAAAACCGCAATACTAGAGAAAATGGGAGAAACGTAGTTTTAAAATCTATCAAATTAAAGATTAAAAGAAAATTAGAACATACATCAGCGTTTAGCGACTCATACCGGACAGTAGTAACTGACTGTAATATTGAATAAATAATTTATATGGTAAAAAAGTAAATAAACATTTTTAAAATAAATAATATATATTATTATTTTAAGAAANGGAAGGGGTTGTCTAATCCTGCCCTGAGGAATATCGGGTAATCTGGGGTGAGTGCGTGACGTCTAGATAGTGAAAGTAATTTATTAGCGAGAATGGAGTGGGGTCATCCCCGCCTCGAAGAATATCGAGTACTTTGGGGTGTATATCGAGTGGTGAGAAATCAAATCCATTATAATGTTATTGTATTTGGATAAGAACAAATCAATACATTCCCAAAAATTTTAATTTATTTGCAGAAGTAGTTTTACAATGTGCAATATTATGCTTATGTTGCTTACATACAAAACCTACTTAAAAATGGATCGATTTTATAAGTCATTTATTTACTCTTGTTCACCATTTAATATTTTTAATTCTCTCCAATAATGTTCGTACTGCACGTCAATGTCTGACGCTGTCTCCAAGATATCGGACACGCGGCCACTACAATCGCACGTAGTCTGTCACGTTAATAAATTATATTCACTAATTTCGTGGTCCGCTTGACCAATTAATATATTACAATTAATTAAGGCATTGCCAAATTAAAATGGCAAAAAGGAGGGAAAATTCAAAAGGTGCGGTTGAGATGGGAAGTTGGTGTCCGAGTGGATCGAGGTCACGATAGCTGATTGACTTTTTTATCTCAACTAAAAACCTTAATTAATTATTAATAAATTATGTTGTTACATTATGTAACTGTAGTCTAGTGTATATTCTATAGAAGACGGCCAGAGGTACAAATGAGAGGCTTGCATTTTAGGATGTCGACTTAGTTTTCATACAAAAGAAGAGTCAGTAACAGATCGAGTCGCTCAAATGGCTGCAGGTTGAAAAATACGCTGGAAAGACCAGGAAAAGAACTAAAAGTACGCATAGCGCCAGCGATGACATCAGTTCCTTTACGACCTTAATGGATGGGGGATGGGAAATGATAAGCATGATAAATAGGATGGAGCCAAGAATGCGACCTTGAAGGACGCCTTGTATAGGTCTGATATCTGAGTAATCGTTGCCGCACTTTACTCTGGAGCAACCGTCATTTAGAATTCTAAGATATGGCAATAAGGCGGAGAAGTTTATAAGTGTTTGAGGGCGACTCATTGTTCTGTAGAGTGGAGAAAATCGAGTCAACGACTCTAAAACTTTGCTGGATCGTGGAATGACGTCATGCATCTAGAATCGATATTAACGTTTCGAAAACTGTCCTTTTTGGATTTTAAACATCACATGAAGAAGGCAGATGGGTCTGTAGGAGGATATGTGCTTGGGAGGTTTATGAGCTTTAGAAATGAAAGTGGAATATTTCCAAAAGAGAGGATGGCATTGTATATTGTAGTTAACTTTTTCTTAACCAAAGTTGCTTCAGGCTGCTAAAGCTTAGCTACCCCAATGAGTTTAGGGGGAGGGTAGTGTTTTTACTTTACTTTTTCACTTTAGGGTTTCATCCCGTGTATTGGCAACACTAATTTTTTTGCGCCAATTTAAAATCTACTTTCAACA